GGGAAGAAACCAATTATGATCCTCTTGGGACTGTAGGGCAGATAAAAATAGAAGCCTTAATCAACGAGGCAGTTTGTGAACGTGGACTGTAGGGACATGTAAATACATTCAGCCAAAATCAAGCGCTTAAACAAAAGTATTTCTTTCTCAAAGAAATTGAGAAAGCTGCAGACATTTTACCCAGTGCTCTACAAAGTCGACTGATAGAAAGAATTTCTCACTAGGCTGAAATGATAGATGTTATTAAACACCAGTTTTATTGAAAGTGTTTCTCTTCAGGCTGGGATATGTGATGGTCCAGATATCAGCTGCCATCACACAGGAAAGTGGCACTGTTTGGGATAACAGCAGAGACCGTGGTGCAAAGGGCACTTCCAGTCCACAACTGCCGATGCAACTGCTGTGCAGTGCTAGTGTACAGAAATGGGAGTGAGAAAGCAACTATGGAGCAGGTAACAGGCAGGAGGTGTAAGAGGGCCCCTACACTGCTGGAAAGGACACGCCCTGGCTGCAGCCAGCACTTTCCTTATCACAAGCTCAGATGCATCTGTCACGAGGGAATACAAGAGCCAGCAGGTTCCCTCTCCTTCCATCACATGCTCACCCAGCCCAGCACAAAGACCTCCTTCATGGGGGAATAAGGAAACTGAGAGTTTTGGGAGAAGGACAGCCAGCACATTGAGTAGGCAAGAAAGGACTTAGGACGACATTATATAGAGCTTTTTCAGGTTAAAACAAATGCTTTTCAAGAATGACATCCCTCGCTCTTCACCAATGTTTGAAGAAGCTCTTTATGGCTTACCTTCCCGAATGGCTGTAAAGGGCACTCCCTCCTCTGTCTCCAGACTGATCACTTTCAATGCCACCAACTGGCCATTGATCCTGTCAGGTCAGAGTGGAAGGTCACATGAAGCACCTCAGTGCTCAGCATGACAATATTAACAGTCCCCTGGGATGCCCCACACTTACCCAAGCAAAATTTCTAGGGCTCACTGCCCCACCTAGGCCAAGCTCTGAAAGGTATTGCAAACCACCTCCATCTTGTTGTCATTAGCAATGAAACAGGAGCCAGCCTGCCGGGCTAGAGTAGTGCCGTTCTGCTGGCTGGGTATTGCTAGAGCATGGCTTTGGGTGGTGTTCCCACTCTGCCCTCTCACAGTTTTCCTGTCCCCACGTGATGGCAGCATGGCCTCACCTCCAATTTTTCTGTCATGCAGGGATCCCTCATTCCAAGGAAAACCCTTCCTCCCTCCTTGCTGCAGCCAGATGATCGCCTAGCATGCTGCTGCAGAGTGAAGTGTCTTTGTGGAGCCTCCATAGTTGTAGCGGAGGAGTTCCCTGAAAAACTGGGATGGAGCTTTGCAAATATCCTGGTTAAAAGCAAACTTGGACTTCTGATTTGCAATAATGGCACCAGTGGTCTTTGCTCACCTGCTGATCCCCTTGTACACAGTCGCACAGGATCCTTCACACAGCTTCTCTAGAGGTACATAGGATGTGGCAGCTCCAAACAGAACGCCTTGTCTCTGCTTCATGAAGAAATTTGTATGTGTTTTAGATTGCTGGGTAGAACAAGAAGCTACTAGCATGTCATTCAGTAATTAAATACTGATTCATGGCTGGAACGATCATGGGATGAAATATCTGCTGTCTGGCTCTATGGATGCTGCACACTCACCCATTTGAACCTCTCAACAACATCCTGTTCCTGTAAAGGATCAGCGTAACTCCAAGGCGTCTGCATCCTGCACCTCCAACTCTGGAGGGTGTGGAGCCATGGGGGCTGCAGTGAGGGTAGAGGAAGGGATGCTCTGGTTACATCCGACAGCTGGCACAGGAAAAGGAGGCAAACTGTATCCCTGGCAAAACACCATTTTACTGATGTGATTCTTTCTCCTTGACTGTGCTGGCTTTGAGCACTTCCACGTAATTTTCATCTCCCTCCCCACCAGTCATGGATCTCCAGTACAGTTACTCAGCTCCATCTGTAAGGTGAGCAACTGTCTGTGTGTTCCTGTCTTGGTAAATGGTAGCACTCAGTCTGAGAAAGCATGGAGATAAAACCACCTTAACTGCAGAGGACACTTCTGCCAGTATCATTCTAAATGCATGTTATTCTCTCTTACCCTTGATTTATTCATCTCTAGATAGCAATCTGTTAGGGCAGGGACTAAAAACCAAATGCGGGAGTGAAATTTCAGGAAGATTAAATGTATGTCTTCTTCTCCTTAACCCCCTGCTCCCGCACCATGTTGACCCTTTCTCACGACTGTATAATTTACACAGCCTGTTAATTTGGCCCATACAGCATAACAGTGCCATAAACTACAAAACTATAAAAATAGTGGTAACGAGTAGCAGGCAGCCTGCAAACTCCTCCCGAGCAGCTACATTGGATGGGTGCCTGCATTATGATTTGACTCAAATATAACAAGGATTTGTAATCTATGGCATGCTGCCTCCTCCAGAACTGTAGGTTGTTGGCTCCCTCCCTGTTTTACAATCCCTCATTGGCATAGAGCTCGCTGGAGTGCAGTCTTCTCCCTGTTCATCACATCGAAGGCATTTATTGTCATCTAAGGCACGGAGTCCTTTTTCAGTAGCTTCACAAGCCTAAAGCTGCAAAGTTTGATGCTGTCTGGTTATAAGCAAACGTGAATGTTTTGCACTCCCACAACAAGTGGAAGAACCCAGGCTTAACCTATCTCAGTGCAGAAGTATCATGGTGTGATATTAAATACCTCTGCTGTAGACGCTGCTTCCATGCGCTGGAGGCCTTGGATATTTTGGGAGCCCCTTCTCTCTGAACAGCAGCTGCAGCATCCTGGTCTGACAGCGCTTACGCACAACATGTCTCCCATGCTGTCCTGTTTCCATTAAAATGTGTCTCTTTTTTTTTTCTTCTTTGCTCCTCCTCACCCCTCCGTCTGCAAAAACAGTTCATATGACTCGCATGAGATCTTTACCTCAAGCAGCCTTGTGATTTCTGCAGTTTTTCTTTGAAAGTCCAACATGCAGTGATCCAAATTCACCCCTGGACTAGCTCCATTGATTGCAGCTCATCTGTCACGTGCCCTCCAAAAACAGCCAACATTTTTTCATACCTAAAGATGAGAATTAAGCAACAAATCCAAATTTCTTTCAGTTAAGCAACTCTCAGTGTAGTATGTTAGGTAATGAAGTGATAGGTTTCATACAGGAACAGACCTTGACTCCCCTCCATGTCTATAGCAGTTACTATTCTATATGTCATTAGGCTTTAAGTCAAGCTATGTGAGCAACGTGGCTGAGTTGTGCTTTCTGCAGAAGCTGTACATTGACTGTCCTTGCTTTGTTCCTGCCTTTTATTCCTAGCCATGATGTGGTGGTGGCGATGTCAGCATGGGGAGCGATGAGTTGTAGCTGATAGAAAAGAGTCTTGTCCACATGTCAAAATAGCCAGAACTGATTAATCCAGCCCAAAATAGACTTCATCAATTATGTACTGAGCAGGCAACGCACAGTGGACTTACACTGGCTGTGGACAGCCAAAAAACCCCTTCTTTCAGTCCCCCATGAGCAGGGCTCGCTGTGCAGCTTCCTAGGACTAACACCCAACCCATGCTGAGAAAATGCTGGCAAGGGGGTGAGGGAGCAGGCATCCAATGGTGGAATTTTTATGCTGACTTCTTGGGTCCTTCAGTTTTCATTTGAATGCATGATGTGAAATCTTCACTTTGCTTCGCTGTTTTGGTGGCTAAGAATAAAACTCTTTCCTTGAGCAAAAGGATTCTCTCATGCAAAAATGCCCTGGGAAGGCAGGAACAATTTCTGTGTCTCATTGCAACCAAACTACCCAGCAGCCTTTGCATGGCAAGAAGGAGCTAACACGCCTGGAAGGCTTGATTTCTTTCACATGATTTTCTTTTGCACTCCCCCGTTAGCCTTAAGATGCTAAATAGTGATCATCAGGGACTTCAGTCTTTGATTGATCTTCCACATACTCTTTGAGCCATCAGAATAGAGCAGTAATTTTGTTGTGCTGTCCAGGCATGAGAAAGGTTGTCTAGCTGCAACACACTCCGTAATAAACTAGTTATGCAAGCGTCGTTTGCGCAGCTGTACAAAGTTTCTTACTCTGGAAAACGTTTTTTATCGTGATGGCCATATTTATGTAAGTGCACTTTTAAAATACATTTAAGTGTAAATAATACTTGCATTTTAAAGGAATGGAAAGAGAAATGCACAAAAAGTAGACAACATAAAAATATAGACACTAATTCATAATGAAGATTATTCATTTTAATCTTAGGTACGTTTTGTGTCAGGGAGTAGAAGGGAATAACTTTGCCAGTTATTTTTGCCAGTCAGCAAGAGCTGGTAGATGAAGAAAGCACCGTAATAGCTGGTGGTCTGGTTACTGAAAAGCAGATGAGAGAGTATTCATCCCAGTTAGCAGAGCAAACGCTCTGATAGCAATGCTTAATAGTCCTCCTTAGAAAAGACAAGTATTTATAAAGGAGAGCCTATACCTGTCCTTGGAACCATGGTTTTTAAGGGACAATGTGAGAAATAGTCTGCTAAATGCTGACAGGACATAAAAAGTGCGTTCTGCAGAACTTGTTCAAGTAGAAACGTGTACGTCGGACGTACATACAGAGCCAGGCGTGTGCGTATCCTGTGCATGCACACGCACAAGGGGCTCCATGTATTTTCAGCACATGCTGTGACTTTCATGCCTGTATAAACCCATACCTAAACCGCGCGAGGCAAACCGTACGTGCACACGCACGCACGCACATACCACGAGCCCAGAGTTCCCCGGGGAGGGCTCGTCCCGCAGGAAGGCCCCAGGTCAGCGCGCAGGAGGGCTGCGGCGCGGGCTGCTCCCGCGTGGCCCAGCAGCTGAGCCCAGGGGCCCGTGGAGCGGGGAAGGGCGGCCGGGCATTCTGCCGTCACTGACCGGGTTTCCCGGGCAGGCTGTAGCGCTGTTCGTTATTTGTGCCGCTGCCCCTTTCGACAGGCGCCCGGGCGCACTTAACGCGCGCTCGTGGCCGCCGCCGCCC